GTGAAGTAATACAGTCAAAACCTAAAATTGATGCTATTACCTGCTACTATGTTGTCACTATATTAATAATCAACTAACATCATTTGTTTGCAGAATTATTCTGCTGCCAAAAATCTTTTAGAAGCTGGGCTTATGAGAGTCAAGGACATCTCATTTAAACTCACCAAGGCCATAAAACAAGAGATATTGTATGTTGAGATATTGAGTGAAAATACGACTCGTATCAATAATGAACAGAAGGAAGATTATATCAAAAGGATCTTGTCATGCATGACAACATCACCAAGTGGTGAGTATGGATCTATGCCAGACACTGACAATTTTTACCTTCTTTACATAAACTAAAAACAAAATATATTTCATTTGCATCCTGTTTGGTGTGTGTCACCGTCATGTCTTTTTTTTACGGATTTTGTTCTCAAACTTTTGTTATCTAACTGTAGGGTCCAAATTTATTTTGCATATTAATTAGGTTGATATAATTACAGATATTGCACCAAGGGAAGAAATACTAGAACAGTGTATAGCATTTCTTTTGAACACTAAATCATGGAGTGTTGTGTTGGATATTCACAGCAAGATGGCATATGCTGACGTAAGTTGTTAGCTTTTTTCTATCCTGTAGATATAGGTAACGGTATGTTATAAGAGTCAGGCATTCTGTCTGTCCGTCTGTCTGTCTGTCCGTTCATCTGTTCATTAATTCATCTTGTCATCATTGAAGCTAGTCATCAAATGTGGATTGAATTTCATACTTGAATGTTGAACTATTAAATTTGTATGTAGATATCCCTAAAGTTTTAGGGATTGAGGGAAATACTGTAAAACCATTTATTATACATCTGTCACTTTAACGCCATAAATTACAGCGTGCCGTAATTTTGCGGTATTTTACTATGTATTTTCATCCTACCATATTAGGAAATACAAATTCCAAGTATGGAATATTTAAGGTAGAGATGTAGTTTATTTGTGAATTTCAATCAAAAATAGTTTTTTTCGTTTTTTATATAGATTTTTATCTAAAGAACATTCTGTGAAAATTTGACCAATGAATTCTTATTGGAACACCGTTAAAATTGCTGGTTATTTTCTGGATAAAAATAAAAAACACTCACACGTGGCAATGTTTATGTCCAATTGCCTAATTTGCATGAGTAAGCAAATAACAGGACCTTTGATTGACAATATGCAAATCGAGATTGTACGGGTCATGGTTCATTCAAACACGCGCATGTGCAGTTATTCTTAAATCAGTTTCCCTGAAGGCGTGGCTCTGAGTTTCTGATTGACTGAGAGATTTTATTTTTAAATAATTGTTTTCAAAAAATAAACTGAGCATGTGGAGAATAATTTAACATTGTTTACAGTGACAGCTCATTGTCGAAGCTTACTCATTCACGCTAGTCACAATAAACATCATACACTTGAATAGGCGTAAAACTACGGTAAAACTTAGTCTCTACTTTAGGCGTCAGGAATGACTGAATGACGCCAAAATACTCCTTAAAAGTCCCATTTTATTTTTTTCTAAATCCCATCCCGAATTTACGGCAGAATCTGGTCCCTCAAATAAGGAACACGTGAGC